GCCCATATAAAATAAAAATATTGTTCGGCGCTTACTTAGTTTTTTTTAGTAGATATAGGTATCCCACAATTTGCGTATTATGAAGTCATTGGGTGCGTTTGGCAGAAAAAAGCGCTAGCAAGCGCTTATAAGCGCTATAGTTTCCAAATAATAAAAATTTGGATGTAAGTGTACGAGCCATTTTTTTAATAAAATTAAAGTGACAAATGAATGGGTGCGTTTGGCAGAAAAAAGCGCTAGCAAGCGCTTGTAAGCAAAATGGCGAAACTAAACAGTTTTCGGCCAGGACACGTTTGCTAACTTCAGTAGCGCTGACACAATCCGCCATTTTGCTTATTTAATTTGATTGTTTTGAAGTAGAGTTTATAAGTTGTTTTGTGCAATATTAGTTTTAAGTAATATAATGACATGAATAAATATATACATGCTATTAAAAACTCATGATTGGTAAGTTTTTAATATGAATACTTTACAAACATATATTTAAATTAGGTTAGATTCCCCGCTTAAAACTAACATCGTGTCCTGGAGGAAAATAGCTACTTACGATTTGACAGCGCTTACCGCTTACGAACGCCATTTTGCTTACAAGCGCTTGCTAGCGCTTTTTTCTGCCAAACGCACCCAATTGCGTTACTTTCATTTTGACACTCCCTCGTTCTTTTGTAAGCTTAACCGACAAAGAGATAAGCCACTCCCCCAAAACTACGATTAATTTTCAAAGTATCCTTTTAAAACTTTTTTTTGAAGTTTTAAGATCAATAATCACTTTGTGAGTCATTTGACGCAACGCAGCTGATACTGGTATTTGCCGCCGTTCCACGTCGTCAATCTATTTTTTATAAACCTGTACAGACAAACGAACTTTTAGAACGCCTGACAGTAAGTGTCAACTGCAGTCCATGAAAATCTGAAGCCAACATCAAACAAACAAGTCTACAGATGCGTTGTCACCTCTGTGAATAAAAATGCAATACCTCACAACCTGTCATTATGCTAGCTCTATGCTGTTCATATCGTTATACGTCAGTGCAAGGACTGCCATTTGGCGCCAGAATTAGTTAAGAGGGTATCAGTCGTCGACAGTTATGATCTGTGGTCGATAGTCTCAACATAAAGCTCTACGACGTACAAGTAAAGTTTCACGTTTAGGTAGAGTTGTGTATTCCTTGTAGCGTCATCATCAGTACGGACCATCACAAGTCCACTGCTTAATTTAGGCATCCCCCAAGCCTTGCCTCAAAACACGCTCCTGGCCACCTACATGCCATCGACTTTCTGCATGTCTTATGATGTCAGTACCGCAGGACCCCACAATTCCTTTACTAGTATGAGACTGCCACTCGAGAACCTTTGTTCCACTATAAACAATAAGTGAAGAAGCGTATTAAAGGGTTTTTATGTTAAAATTTATTTAATTCTGAAATTCACCAACACGCATTGGGACAGCGTGGCGGACACTTACTTGCCCTAAAACCCTCTCATAAATGAGAGGAGGGCTGTGCCCAGCAGTGGGACGTGTATAGGCTATAACCGGGAAAATATACAAACAGCAAACATATTATGTTAACTTAACTGTAATACAAGATTAAATGTAATGTTAGTGATTCAGACACATACTTAGTTCTTGTGGGTAGCCTTGTTGAATATAGACGTAATTAATGTATAAAGTAGCGTTCAAGTTGCCAAATGAGGAAACCGCTGAAAGACAAAGAACTTAGCTAGGTGATGTTGAATTCCATGTCCGTAATTAGTGCTAATTATTATTCATGCCATTTATTACGTAATTATATTAAGTTGTATAGTTTCATTATTGTCATATACCTAAATAGTTACATATATTGGTGCTTAAAATAAAATCAATAAATTAACTAACATACTTATATATATATATATATATATATATATATATATATATATATATATATATATGTATATATATATATATGTTATACTGTTGTGGGCCAGCCTAGGTTACATTTTATTCTGTATATTTTCTTATGGAATAAAAATTAGTTTTCAACTCAGTCAAGAAATACTGCATCGAACCATACCGTTTTGAGCAACAAAATATCAGAAAAAAATTATATTCAGACTGATTTGTGTTATTTTTCGCCTAGGACGTCCCTTTCCGACTCTGCCATTCACTTCTGCACCATAAATTTTCTTTGTCACTCTTTCCTCATTCATTCTTTCCACATGACCAAACCACCAATTTATCGACCAAATTGGCGATTTATTGAAAACGGGCCAAATTAGGAGTACCCTTAACCGACGAACATGTATGCGTAGGTGTATGGATGTGAAGGAGGCAAGAGAGGTGTGTCAGGATCGTGCCAAATGGAAGTCTGTAGTCTCTGCCTACCCCTCTGGGTGAAAAACGGGCGTGAGTGTTTATGTCCTCATGTAATTTGTATTAAAGTTAAAGTAAAAGTTACAGCCTATATAGGACCCACTGCTGGGCACTTGCCTCCTCTCATTTCGGAGAGGGTTTTAGGGCAAGGAAGTGTCCGCCGCGCTGCCCGAATGCGTGTTGGTGAACTTCACATGTCTTCGAAATATTTTTTTTCTAATTTCTCAGACATGTAGGTTTCGTCACGACGTTTTCCTTCACCGCTGAGCACGTGGTAAATCAGCATTAAAATTGCAATTAAAAATTTCATTGTTGCCGGCGGGGATCGAACCCGGCTTGCTCGCGTACTGTGTTATTTACAGTTAGCGCTAACCATCTGAGCTACCACGGCTTACTAATTAGTGTACCTAAGTATAATTATTTCCTAGGTAATTCAACGAAAAAAAAACCACTATGATTTCTTATATTTACGTGTATACTATACTACACATGGAATAAAACTAATTTTGTGGATCTTATTGCGTTTAATTTTTATTTTTTTTTTCGATCACTTTACAACACATATGGTCGCCACAGGACCATAGAAATCGCCACAGGAATTAAAAAAGTAAAAATTAAACGGGATCAAATCCGCTTAGTTAGTTTAATCCAAAAAAAGCAAGTAAAGTCTTTAGTCCTGCAACTGATCCCTCTCCGGTCATGTTCGTTGCTGTTCCATCGAAATCGGAAATAGAGAGTGCGGCTGTGCGGCTTGCTTTCCTACATAATATTGTAGTCTTTGGTGCTTGTGCTCACAGTCGTGCACCATTACTCTATTTCGCGCAGATGGCTTCTCTCAAAAATATAATACATTCGTGTTAGTTCTTATTCAAATTAAAGTTATAATATACACAAATATCAACATCAAACGTTAGTGGCGGAGTAAGAATATCACCTACCCCATAACGTCCCATAGATGTCGTTAGAGGCACATAATATTGTAGTCTTTGGTGCCTGTGCTCACAGTCGTGCACCATTATTCTGTTTCGCGCTTAGAAATAATTTCGTGTTAGTTCTTATTTAAATTAAAGTTATAACAAATATCAACATCAAACGTTAGTAGCGGAGTAAGAATATCACCTACCCCATAACGTCCCATAGATGTCGTTAGAGGCACATAATATTGTAGTCTTTGGTGCTTGTGCTCACAGTCGTGCACCATTATTCTGTTTCGCGCAGATGGCTTGTCTCAAAAATATAATAATTTCGTGTTAGTTCTTATTTAAATTAAAGTTATAATATACACAAATATCAACATTCTTTTCTTGTACAAATATAGTATTTTCCCAAAAAGAATGCAAAAATATAGTACTTTTGAGTGATTCCGGAGAAAAAAAGTACACATTTATTTTTAATCTTTATGTATACTCAATACAAATATGAATGTATTTCGTTTCGTTATTCGTCAATGCTCTTTGCTTTAGCCATCAATGATCTAACCACCTACCTACCTCTACTATCTACTACTACTATTTACCTTATTTTTAAAATAATTAGGAATTTGAGCAATTTAGATTCATATCAAAATTAAAAATTACTCTTTTATGAAATTAATACATGCTGTTTTTCTTTCTTCTTTCAATTTTACATTCATGATGGCAAAATTCTTACCGTAAAATATACTTGTTCCTGACTTCAAATCACAGTTAACAAAGCGACTGTTGAATTACGGATAAAAATATAGTATTTTTCGTACTATATTATTTTTATATAATGTATAGTACAATCGACTTAAATATATTACAGTACGTGTGGCAACCCTATTACCTACCTTGTCTTCACTTTGTAGTCGTTGGTAGAGGTGGTCATATTAAACAGAATTTACAACCTATTCATTTGTAAGACTCTGTGTCAACGAAAGTTGTATCTTTTATAACCACTTCTGTTGGTACCTATGCTATCAATCTTAGCAAAGGCTCTTATTTATAAATTCCATGTTGTGTGCATTGTAATACGTTACACTTTTCAGAAAATACTTTCGATCATAGCGTAGAGTGAAGTGATTGCCCGAAATAATTTTTTTGCACACACTTAAAATTATTATTAATTCGTCAACATGATTTAGGTCTATAACTGTTTTGCTTATTCATTATTCATTCATTAGTTATTAAACAGAATCGGTACAATCATTTTGCTCAAAGTAGCATCTCCAAATTATTACTCATATATTTCATGTACCTACATAGAATAAGGATATGAGTTCAATTCGAATTACTTTTTTAATAATACATTCCCAAGTAAATACTCAACGAAACGATCAATAGATGTCTCTTAAACCTAAAATGCAATCACCAACTTTATATTTTGCAACTGAAGAAGAAAACTTTTATATATGTTGTAAAATAATTACAAATGTATAAATTGGCGATAAAATAATGCGTATCCAATGAACAAAGTACGATTATAGTTCTACGATTCGTCATAAATTACAAAATTTTCATCGTTTAATTTTACATTTTAATTGTATCTAATAACATCAGACAGAAACTAATTGCAATTATTGAATCAAAATTTCTCTGAAAAGTAATATTAAACTTTCTGCTCAATAAGTTCATGATGAATTTGTTTGTAATTTCTGATATATATCTGATAACGTTTTATTTTATAGGACGACGTCACCTCCCGGGGAGCCTCTGGTGCGAGCCCCTGTTGGGAAGCCAAGATGTCCTCCGGCTATATCCAGGCTGCGCGTGGAGAAAGTAGAGGGCGGTCTTGCGGTGGCGGGTGTGGTCGTTGCTGCCAACTGCCAGATTGCTTTACCGATATTCGGATTTCTGTTCATGCTAGTCGGATGTGTGCTTACAGGTATGTCCAGTATGAAAAGTCGTTTTAACCGCAGGCTTGTTTCTGTTTTATCACGTTTTAATTAATTAGCTTTCGTAAATGTTTGTTCCATAGGTTTATTCAGATCGAATTGATTAATTTATTTTAAACTAACAATAGGATGTCAAAGTAATAACGGGAAGAAATGAAAACGTTGTGTATAGGGACGTCTGAAACCGTTGAAGATGCAAAAAAACTTTCAGCTCATAGTTACTACCATTACTGCCATTACATTATGTTTATATAAACTCTAGACTGCCTCGTTGGTCTAGTGGTTGTAGTAGTGCGACTGCTGGTCATGAGGTCCTGGGTTCGAATCCCGGGTCGGCAAAAAAATTAATTATTCGGTTTTTCCGTCAAGAAATTCTCAGTATGCCGAAGTGGACCCCCGTGCCTCGGAAAGCACGTAAGCCGGTTTACTGTCCCATCGGATTATGAGAGTGAGGGAAGAGAAAATGCACCTGTGCTTGCGCGCACACACTTGGGCACTACGATCCTGTCCTGTGCCGATGGCTAGTCTCCGTTGAGGCACCGGAATTCGGTCTGGAGGACATTATTATTATATAAAAGTATTTGAACTAAGTAGTTAATTTTTAATAAGGCATGAATTTTCAGTAAAATTGAAAAAACTTTTTTATAAGTTTTTATTGTATTGGTAAATTTTAGTCAGTACTCTTAGCCATGATAGCGCAGGGGCTAAGCGACCATAAATTTTACACTATCTGCGTAAAATGCTGTGAAACCGAAGTCGTTCACGCGAGCTACGCAGCGTACCTACTTCGTTTCGATACCAACCTTTAGGGCACCAATAAAATTGTTACTTGCAATTTTAATTGCTGATTTACCACATGCTAGATGGTGAAGGAAAATATCGTAAGTAAAACTGCATGTATTAGTAATGAAATATTTCGAGGACATTTAGAGTCCGCCAAACACGCAATGGCGGGACACGATAGACTAATTGCTCCATTATATTATATAATTATACTGCACATGTATTATTAGCAACTTACAATTTTTACCAAATATTGTTACGAGCTTGAGGTTCGTGACAATAAAAATTGCCGATAAAATTACCTAAATTAACACTTTAATTTACTTTACACAATTATAGTTAAAACACTAATAATTTAAACACACTAATTCACTTAATTCCACTCCGAAGCTTCGCTTGTTTCGCCCAAATCAACACTGCCTCGATCGCATCTTGCAGCGCCTATATATTTGAATCAGCAAAGAAATCTGCAGAATGTTGAAGTAAACACGCGGAAGGCACCGAGCGTTCGAGTTTCGGCTAGGCGCTGTCAGTTGAGCGATTTGTGATGTCATTTTCTCAATGCTCCCCTCGCTCTCGTTCCTGACACTAGATGGCGCTAGTTGACTTATTCATGCAACACTGCCCCCTCCTAAGACATGCTCGTCCCGAGCATTATCGGTCCCATAATAACGCGCCAAGCGATCCACATGGACGATCTTAGGAGTCCCTCTTGCGCTTTTCTGTATCCGGTAGGTCACATCGTTGATCCTGGTTACAATCCGGTACGGGCTGTCCCATTTAGCTTGAAGCTTAGGAGATTTCCCTTTGCTGCGGACTGGATTGTGCAACCACACAAGTGAACCTTCGTCGAACCCTTTGTTGTTCATTTTGCGGTCGTACCGGGTTTTCATTTTCTCAGACATTTGCTGGCCCGATTGTCTGACGTGCTCATAAATGTCATTCATTTTGTTCCGCAAGTCATTTGCATAATCGGTTATACTGCGTGGGGCATCAGGTGGTATCCCGGTGATCAGGTCCGCAGGCAGCCGTAATTCTCTTCCAAAGTTTGCGAAAGCTGGTGTCACTGCTGTACTTTCGTGAACAGAACTTCGATATGACAACAAAAACGGTTGTATGTGCTTGTCCCAATCTCGTTGCCGATTGTCTACAACTTTTGCTAGGTACCTCTCCAATGTCTGATTAAATCGTTCCACCATTCCATCAGATTGCGGGTGATAAGAAGTCGTTCTTGTTTTATGAGTACCCATAACTCGGCAAGTTTCCTGGAATATTTGAGACTCAAAATTCCTTCCTTGATCGCTGTGAATCTCTAAAGGTACTCCAAAACGACAGAAGACTTCATGAACTAGTTTATCTGCAACTGTTGAAGCTTCTTGATTTGGAATGGCGAAGACTTCTGGCCACTTAGTGAAGTAATCCATCACAACCATGAAATACTTGTTACCGCTTTCACTCTCCGGAAACGGCCCCGCCACGTCAATGGCTATTCTCTCCCATGGTGCACCCACATTGTACAACTTCAATGCACCTCTACTACGAGTCTGAGGTCCCTTTACAGCCGCACAACTTGTACATTTGCGACACCAGTCCTCGACATCGTTTCGACAGTGGACCCAGTAAAACCGTTCTCGGATCTTCAGTAGAGTTCGTTTAACTCCCAGATGGCCTCCTGAATAATCATTATGGTACAGCTGTAGAACATCCGGTACTTTAGCTTTAGGGACAACCATTTGTAAATAACAGCTGTCTCCCCGAACATTTTCCCATTTACGGCACAGTACTCCATCCTGAAGCAGCAAGCTGTCCCACTGGGCCCAATAGCTTTTAGTGGTTGAACTCATTGCTGAGACGTCGCTCCACTTAGGCTTGGGAGCACTGGCCCTTATCCATTCCAGAATCGGCTTGATGTCCGGATCTTCCTGCTGTGCATGTTGTAAGCTGTTCTTCCATTCGTTGCTGAGGTGGTCCGTCCTGAGCATCCTCACGGATACCTCTTCCTTACTCTCTTGCCTAGTACAATGGTTGCAATCTTCAGGACAAGGTCTTCTTGACAATGCATCTGCGTTGCCGTGAGATTTTCCGCTGCGATGTTCGATCTCAAAGTCGTATTCCTGCAGTAGTTCAATCCACCTCGCAACTTGTCCTTCTGGATTTTTAAACTGCAATAGCCATTTTAGTGCAGCATGGTCAGTTCGTAAGTGAAACTTTCGTCCCAGAAGATATTTGCTAAAATGCTGCAACGACTTTACCACAGCGAGCAATTCGCGTCTTGTGACACAATAGTTCCTTTCCGGTTTTGACAACGACTTGCTGAAGTACGCTATTACGACCTCTTGGTCACCATTCCGTTGAGACAACACACCGCCGAGTCCTATATCACTTGCGTCTGTGTCAACTATAAATTCTTTGCTTGCATCAGGGTATCCCAAAATAGGTGTTTTGCACAGACGGTCCTTGAGCTCCTGGAATGCGATATTGCAACTTTCATCCCAGCAGAAATGTCGCTTCTCCTCGGTTAGCTTGTGCAGAGGTTTGGCTATATCTGCAAAGTTCTTCACGAATCGCCGGTAATAGGAGCACAAACCCAAAAATGCTCTAACCTGCGTCTTGTCTTTTGGAACCGGCCAATCCTTGACAGCGGCGATTTTCTCTGGATCTGTGCGGATACCTTCTTCCGATACTACAAACCCCAAAAAGTTAACTTGCCGTTGAAATAGTGAACATTTCTTCGGGCTCAACTTGAGGTTGGCACTCTGAATCTTCATGAGCACGCGTTCCAGGTTTTGAAGGTGTTCCTCAAACGTACGGCCCACGATGATGATGTCATCCAAGTAGACCAGACAGGCATCGCCAATTAGCCCGGTAAGTACAAGTTCCATCAGCCTTTCAAACGTTGCTGGAGCATTGCACAACCCAAACGGCATTACTTTGAATTGCCACAGACCCTTTCCCGTCGAGAACGCAGTTTTCTCCTTGTCCTTAGGGTCAATTTCAACTTGCCAGTAGCCACTTTTTAGATCCAGCGTGCTAAACCATTTTACTCCTGTAAGCATGTCCAGCGTGTCATCAATTCTTGGCAAGGGATAGCTGTCCTTCTTTGTAACGTCGTTCAGACGGCGGTAATCAACACAGAACCGCATGCTGCCATCCTTCTTTTTCACCAGCACCACTGGTGAACACCATGGACTAGAGGAAGGTTCAATAACACCATCCTTCACCATTCCTTCAATCATGGTTTCCACTTCCTTTTCACGTGCTACCGGCAATCTTCTTGGCCGCTGACGGATAGGCAATTCCTCTCCTGTGTTTATTTTGTGTTGAACTAGGCCAGTCTTTCCTATGTCAGCATCATTTGATGAGAATACATCGGCGTACTTGAGTAACAACTTCTTCGCCTTGACCAATTCGTTCGGGGACAGAACACTGCGACAGTCTTCCAAAAGTGTGGTCACTCTCGTTTCTGAATCCTTGCTGGGGGTCCCACTCGATATATATTGGCACTGACGTAACCAATCCACTTCCTCACAAGTACCAACCAGTGTGCCTTTTTCTATAATCTGTTCCCGGTCGCAAAGGTTCAGCACACGTACTCCTGAGATGTCAGTGGTCCTGACCAAGGTTCGAGCTACTTTCCATGGAAGGTCATTGTTTACCCTTTCCACAAGTACACAACGGTGAGCTTGCCCAGCGTTTCGAGGTAGACTAACCGGAACAATTGTTTCCGATCTCGGCGGAAGAACAATCTTCTTGATGCTGTACACGTTCCCTGGTAACGCACCTTCCATAAAAAGTTCCTCCTGTCCACATTTCAAAACACCTTGCTTAACGTCGATCTCACAACAATTATTCCTCATAAAGTCTAGGCCTAAGATGCAGTCGTCCATTATATCAGCCACGATGACATTATGCAGGTAGATCACGTTGCCTAGCTTCAACTCCATCTCCTTCTCTCCACGGACGGGTATACGCTGACCGGTGGCTGTTACCAAATTAAGGCGTTCTCGGTTGTATGCGGAGTCCCCAAGGAACTGACTTATAAGTTGGGAACTAACAACCGTACGAGAGGCTCCAGTGTCTATGGTCAGCTTACACGGCATTCCGTTGATCTCGCCCTTTATGATTAGGCTGTTCCCATCATGGGTTTGTGAGATCGAGATCCTTGGGGCTCTTTTAACATCAGCCAGCACCCGCCCCGCAGTTCTGGCTTTTACTCGTTTCCCTGCCGCTGCTGGGCGGTGCTGTTGGCCGCACTACCCTCCTGAGATCGTTCAATTTCCCTTTCTAGGGTTCGCTTAGGGCAGCTGGATCGAAGATGGCCCTTTTCCCCACAGCCATAGCACCTTGGGCTGTATCCTTTGTTGCGGTCGCGAACTGTAGCTGCTGCAACCTCCCTGACGCGATGGGAACGATGATCCTGCCGCACGGCTTCCACTTCCAGTGCATGGGCCAAGGCGTCCTTAAGCGTCTCGTGGTGCCCGAGCCTCACAGCAGCTCTGACTTCCAGGTCGCGGATGCCGTCGATGAATGTCTGCACCAGGTTCCCTTCAATGAGCGCAGGTACAGACCGGTATGCTTTTCGCACCAGCTTCTCCACTTCTAGAGCCCACTGCTGCAGGTTTTCGTTGATGCGCTGCACACGATCTTTAAGCTGCGCACGAAAGACGTGTTCCAGGTGAGCGTCTCCATATCTCGCCTCCAATGCCTCAAGGAGTTGCTCATAAGTCACTTCCTCACCGAGAGCTTCCAGAACTGTTAAGGCCTGGTCGCGCAGGCCTAGTGTGAGAGCAGTCATGGCCTGACTTTTATTCCAGCCGTTCGCCTTCATAACAGCCTCGAACTGGATTTTGTAGGCTGACCAGGAAGAAGTCCCGTCGAATGGTGGCACCTTGAACCCACGTAGCGAAGGTGTAATAGCTACTACGGGAGCTGTAGCTCCATCTCCAAGTTTGAGTTCGTCCAGTGATTTCTTCATGTCAGCCATTACGTTGTCAACCCGATTGTTTACTTGGTCGATTCGGGTTTCAGCTTTCTCGATTCGGTTTTCAGCTTTCGCGATTTGGGTTTCAGCTTCCGACAGGCGTTTGTCATGCTGAGCAACCCTATCCTTCACCTCCTTTATCTCCTTCCCGAAGGTAGCGTGAAGGTCCTTCATGAGGAGCATCTGTTCCTCCTGTCGGCGGGTCTGTTCCTCTTGTCCGCTCTGCAGCTGCTCTTTCAACTGACGGACCTGTTCCTCCTGTCCGCTCTGCAGCTGCTCTTTCAACTGACGGACCTGTTCCTCCTGTCGGCGAGCCTGCTCTTGCAGCATCACCATCAGAGCACCTAAGTCAGGTGCTGCAGATGTAGGAGCTACCGACGGGCCTGCAGCCGGTGGCTGGCCCTCCGACGTCTGCGGCGTTGCACCACCAAATCTTCGTTGGTCCGTCTCCTGCTGGCGTTGACTTCGGGTACGGACACCCTCCGTTTCCTCCTTAGGTAAAATCGGCATTATTTTATCCCACTTCTGACACCAATTGTTACGAGCTTGAGGTTCGTGACAATAAAAATTGCCGATAAAATTACCTAAATTAACACTTTAATTTACTTTAAACAATTAAAGTTAAAACACTAATAATTTAAACACACTAATTCACTTAATTCCACTCCGAAGCTTCGCTTGTTTCGCCCAAATCAACACTGCCTCGATCGCATCTTGCAGCGCCTATATATTTGAATCAGCAAAGAAATATCCAGAATGTTCAAGTAAACACGCGGAAGGCACCGAGCGTTCGAGTTTCGGCTAGGCGCTGTCAGTTGAGCGATTTGTGATGTCATTTTCTCAATGCTCCCCTCGCTCTCGTTCCTGACACTAGATGGCGCTAGTTGACTTATTCATGCAACAATATCTATAAAATTATATGTAAACGATAAATTTTTAAGCAATTTCGTATGTTACTCTAGGAATCTCTCCTGTATCATAAATGCGCTTTACGTACACAAGTTGCTCTTGCACAAACATCCAAACACGAAATAATAGTTTGTAGGCTTTACAAATACTTTTGCCGTGCTGCCAAGCGCTTGGTTGTACAAGCGCTTGTACTCTGCGATAACAGAGTAATTTCATCTGACTTTACAGATGTACGTAATCGTATTACATTTATTATCCATCGTTTTAGTCTACTCCACTGTTAAACACAGGCCTCCACTCTCCCCTATAGATTGTCAGGCTTATGAGGCGGGTTAACAAACGTGGCTGTTATTTTGAGGTTATGAGGAAGACGGAGATTTGAGGTTATGCAGTGTAGGGCGACCCCCCACTAGATGGAGTAACGACCTGGTAAGACATGCAGGAAGTAGATGGATGCAGGTGGCTCAGGACCGTGCTTTGTGGCATACCTTGGGGCATGGGGGAGGCCTATGTTCAGCAGTGGACTTGTGAAGGGCTGTAATGATGATGATGATAAGGATGAGGAAGATGCTGCTGCCCATCTCTTGTTTAATTTGCTTCTATCGCCTCTTACGACATCCATTCTGCTTTATTTCTGCCGCCATTATAATAACAAGCTGCGAGGAATTCATTCTAGGTCCACAGAGGTGATCCCGCATCGTAGCCTTCTTTGTTTGAAATAGCCAGTTACCACCAGACGAGGGTCACGCCGCCACTACACGGCATATATTACAAGAATATCACAATTATTGCATACATTTTAAAAAGCTCTTGCTACTGGCCACAACGCGTGCATCACGTGGTAGGGCCACGCTGCAGCTATATTATGATTGTAGCACGAATGGGTCGGCTCAACGGGAGAAGTACCACGCTCTCACGGAATACCAGCGTAAAATAGCAGCTTAATACTGCTGTGTTTCGTATCGTGAGTGTAGAGATCCAGAGACCCTTTTAACTGAAAACGAGGCATTCCATCTTAGTTCTCAGGAGTGAGGAGATATGATAAGAATATAGAACGACGAGTGAATGCAGGAAATAGAGTGAATGGGGCTCTACAGTCTATTATGAATAATCAGAATGTGTCAAAAAAGGCACATAGGGAAATTCATAATGATGTGTTAATCCCTAATTTAATGTATGGTAGTGAAAGTTGGGTGTGGCAGAAGAAGCACGAAAGTAGAATAAATGCTGTAGAAATACCGTCTTTAAGGAGTATGCTAGGGTTGAATCTGAATGACAGGGTGAGAAATTGTGTGATAAGAGAAAAATATGGTGTGCAAGATGATGTTGTGACCAGGATTAAGAAAGGAATTCTCCGGTGGTTTGGTCACGTAGAAAGAATGAATGAGGAAAGAGAGACAATATGGCAGGTGTGAACGGCAGAGTCGGGAAGGGACGCCCTAAACGAAAGTTTATCGACCAAATGGTCGATATTTTGAAAATGGGCCACATTAGAAGTACCCTTAACCGACAAGCGTGTATGCGTAGATATATATATATATATATATATATATATATATATATATATATATATATATATATATATATATATAGATGGAGGCTAGAGAGGTATGGGATCGTGCTAAATGGAAGTCCATAGCCTCTGCCTACCCCTCCGGGTGACAGGCGTAAGTGTTTTATGTTTATTTATTTTGCATCACGCATCTGCATTTTGATTCTTAATCGAGGATAAATGTAGATGTCTATGGGCCACAGCATCTACTTATCATCAGGTGGACTGTGTGCTCGTTTCTGAGCCTTATTCTATGAAAAAAATATCACGTTCTCAACACACTATGTAAACTGATCGTTAACTTCGCGGTTACAGCGGCTTCGTACCGCGGCTGCGGTGAGAACGAAGAGCCCGACCATTACGCGGCGCGGATCGCCTTCACCGGTAACTCGAGGGTACTCGGTCCGGTCTGCATCGTTACTGGCGCACTTATGACGATCGCTGGTGAGTGATCAACTGCACAATATTATTTTAAACCTTAAGTTTGTAGTAGAGAGCTTAAATTTAATGAACAATTTACTCAGGTTGTGATTTTCATGAAAAGATCATGCGGCTTTGTCGCGTGTAATACCACAAACTTCCTGCATAAAAATAAGTCATTTGCAGGTGACATGCAAAATATGTTCGCTATCGTAAAAATTCATACGACAATATCTAACAACTTCGCTTTAACTTTTGAAACATGGTTGAGCAACTATGCAGCTAAAATATATTACAGCTGCAACAGGAATGCGTCTACTCGACTAGGAAGGAGAAAATACCACACAAGCTACCAACTTGAAATAGAAATATAATTCTGATATGTTTCGTATGCTCAGTGACGAGAACCGTAGACATTGTCACTGATATTGCAACATTTCATCTTGGTACTCGAAGGTGTTATAACTCCAGCATTTTTGTTGTTTCGACAAAGCATGAGCATTTTGAAATAATACTAGTTTTTACGGAATTTATCGCGTATATTTTAACTTTTTAAATACCCGACGTTTCGAACGCTTTACAGCACTCATGGTCACGGGCAGGACTGAGATGTTCAACGTCCATATGTCATAGTTAACCGCGGTTACCATAGATTAAAATTTTACTTTTGTTCCGATCTATACAGTATGAACTTATGGTATCTTGAAGTCTTGCAGTTGTATGTTTGGGTTGGGATTTAATTTTATTTATTATAGGATCCCAAGCAGATGGTAGCACCCAGCCATCTTCTCTATTGAAATTAGGATGTTTTTTGATTTCAATAGCCTCGCGAATAATCCTTGGAAGGAATCGGTGTTCTTTAGCGAGGATCTGCGGTCTATCAAATCTGATTTAGTGACGGGGGCGATCCTGTACGTGTTCACAGACTGCAGACTTCCCGGAGCGTCGATTCTTTACATCAGCTATATGTTCTTTAACGCGGGTTTTTATTGATCTTTTAGTTTGTCCTATGTAGGAGAGACCACATTCACAATCAAGCTTGTACACTCCTGCATCTTGCAGAGAGACATTACACTTGACCGATGGTAAAAACTGACCAATCTTCTTCAGCGGCTTGAAGTATGTTTTGATGGAAGCGCGCTTCAAGATGTAGCCAATCTTGTCAGTGACTCCTCTAACATATGGCAGTACAGCAGGTACACGCTCGACTGTGGCCGGCTTTCACTGACTGTGACGTAGGCGCGGGACTCTAAGCTTGTTGTCATGCAAAACTTGCTTGACATGGTGGAGCTCTGCAGCCAGGTGTTTACGAAACGTCGGGTATTTAAAAAGTTAAAATATACGCGATAAATTCCGTAAAAACTAGTATTATTTCAATGTGTAGTGTTCGCGTAAATATAAGAAACCATTAAGCATGAGCATTGTTTATAGACCTACCATAGCGGTCACAGTGTTCACTTACCATTATATAATAATACCAGCGTGAAATAGTACCTTAATGCTGCTGTGTTTCGTATGGTGAGTGTAGAGAACCGGAGACCCTTTTTACTGACTAACTAACTGGAAAGTCCTCACGGGTGACAACGCATCTGCATTTTGATTCGTAATCGAGGATAGATGTAGATGTCTATGGGCCACAGTAACCACTTACCATCACGTGGACTGTGTGCTGGTTTGTCACCCTATCCTATAAAAAAATATGAACAGTGGGCTAAGCCGACTTACTTCCCCAAAATGCCCTTGCTTATCGCTTTGATAAGTTCAAACTTTGACACAAACCCCTCTTTCCATAACGGTGAGTATGGACAGTTAGAAAGGCTGGAGCTACGCGTAAAAAAAGGAATTTTAATATGTGATGACGTAATGTGATCCATTTAAAGTACGTACATAATGAATTCGGTTTGTTTTTGTATTCCAGGTATAGTGCTATGCATTTTGATGCGCGCGGCTCAACGTCGACAACGCCGACTCGCCTTCCACTGTCCCATTCACGGAGACTTCTATCCTCTTAGTCCTCAGAATAGTAGAAAGTATTCACGTAAGTAAAATATTTTCCCAAATAGAATTAATTTAAAAATAACCCTAAGTATAGTCGAATCAGATGAAATGTCGGTCTACAACATTGAAATAACTGGATTCTAATCAGCTAAGCCCCCCCCCCCTTTGGTTATTTTTTTTGGTTATTGTCTGTCCGAGCTAATCATGGCACTGGCTAAACCAATTGTGATAAAACTTATACATATAACATATAGAAAGTAATGCCGGAAGGAATTTATGCTATATTTTATCCGAAACACTTATTATTATTTTTTTTAAATACGAACAAATGAACAATTTTCAAAATAATGGCCTTTGATTATCTTAAATCTTGATAACGCTACATTTATATATTATATCCTATGGAGGCAAAGCCGTAGCGGATTGTAGTTTTTTTTAATAATGTATTGAAAACCTATGACATGCACAAGTACAACATTAGGTTTTTGTTTTGACAAATTGAAAAAAAAAACAAACAATTTTGTTTTAAACTAATTCGTAAAAAACATTTACTAAAATTCTCCAACTACCTCTCTACCTTCCTCTACCGTAGCCAAAAAGTAGAGACAATCTAATTTTATAATATAATGTTCAAAGATTTGTTTTATCCTATTTGTTATGTTTGTAAGGTTTCGGTGATATACACCAACAACAAGTAGTAAAATTTTGTACAACCGGCTTGAATATAAATAAAATGAAAACATCATCAATGTATTTGAAGTCAATTAAATATGCATTATGAGGGACAACTCAAAAACTACTGGTCATATCTTGATCAAATTTATATGGGACCATAAAAGAAGCTTCAGAATTTCAAATTAAAGAATAACTATCAAAATCAGTTTACGTAGAAAAAAGTGCTGAGGTAACACACATAAAAAAAACATACAGTCTAATTGAGAACTTTCTCCTTTTTGAAGTCGGCTAAAAAAATCCTTTTCCTTCATCACGTGTTATCCCGTGAGTGAAGTTATAGGCAGCTATAGAAATCCCATACAGAACGATATAACCTTCTCACGTATACTTCTCACGTATCACGCGACCTATGCCTACAATAAAACTTCAGCCGATCTGTTCACTAGAGCTGCGCGGGTGAATTAACGTCCTACAAAAATGCTGAATTGTTCAGTTTTTGCTGCAAAAAAATCTGCTACGTTAGATTTACAATAAGATGGCGTTATTTTTCATATTTTCTTCTGCACGATGCCTTTTCGCCGCCATCATACTAATATCTTATTCAGCTGACTTTCAAAAAATAGTTTTATAGCCAGTCAGTCATCTGTGTTTTGTATGTTATCGTAGACTTTTCGCAAAATGTTTGTGAATCGATTTTATGTACAATCTTTTTATCAAATACGTTATACTCCAAGGGTGATCTTATATAATAGGGTTCTCAATGCCTACTCGCATTGGGGTAGCGTAGTAGACAATTCCTTGCCCTAAAACCCTTTCAGAAATAACAGGAAGTCTGCGCTTAATAGTGCTACGTATAGAGGGACATTACGTGACTAGTAGCTGGTTGGAAAGTACTCGGGCCGTTACAGCCTATCAAAGGTCTACAGCTGAGCTTAAGCCTCCCCCATCATAGAATACTATAATACACGTTAGAATGGCTGTCAACCATATTTTGTAGGAGGGTTGGCGTCGCCGGCAGCACACATACAAGCAATTGCGTCGTATTATCAGTTTATCACTACTATAAACCCGATTCGATGTGTTGACAGACGGATTTTAATATATATTTATTTGTAAATAGGGTACATTTGTATTTTCTAAATAATTTGAAAAAAAAAAATTGCGAAATTTTGAAACAATTGTAACGTCAAAACACATCTCGTGTTGACAGTTATACGTGTGAATTGACGTGTTAGTGGCATTTTAGTGGCCACACGGGCTCCGTCCACTCCCCCATTATGTAAGTATTATAGTATTCTATGTCCTCTATAGATTGCCCCATAGTAAAATTCGCTATTGTTGCCAAGCGTGACAGGCGATTTGTATACTTTTTTTGCAAATTTACAAAGCGCAAGTTCGGCCTCACATGGAATACTGTTCTCAACTCTGGGCCGGGGCACTACAGTGCCAGCTCCTTCCACTTGACCGCATCCAGCGCAGAGCAATTTGAATCGTGTAGTGCTTTCCGATCGGCTCGATTCACTGGCGCTGCGTAGGGATGTTGCATCCCTTTGCGTTTCCTATCGTATCTACCAGGGGGAGTCTTCTGAGGAATTGTTCGGATTAGTTCCAGCCGCCAAATTTCACGAACGCACATCACGTCAAAATTCCGTACGTTTTACTAGGAGTTTTCTCCCTCGTACAACTTCTCAGTGGAATTGCTTACCATTGGCGACTTTTCCGGATTCATACGACTTAGGGACCTTCAAGAAAAAAGAGCTTACTCCTTTCTAAAAAGCCGGCAACGCACCTGCAATTCCCCTGCGTTTGTTCACGGGCGGCGGCAGTCACTTACCATCAGGTGAGCCGCATGCTCGTTTGCTCCCTCTTCTATAAAAAACCGCATTTCTTTTTTCTTTTAGTGGTTATTAAGAAGACGCCAATCTCCTTATGTGTGTCCTTTTGTAGCCTCTTACGACACCCGCGGGACTCGCGGTGTCGTAAGAGCGGTGGATATTCTACACTACACGGTTAATACTTCAGGGTTGGTTCTATATAATAGGAGCGACAGTACACTAACATTTTAATCTTGTATTTACACTACATTCTTAGTATTCACATACACTCCCGCTCCTCGTGTTATTGTCGCACCAGTTCTAGAACGTGTATTGTCTTTTCGTAATCATGGCGTCATATTTGTTAGCCATTGACCGGAGTGGCTAATTATACACATTCAGAAGCTTCAGTTTTGGCGTGCTAATAACGCATCTACCTTTTATTATAATATAATATATACATAAATATTATTGGCAGCTGCTTATAATGTAATACCGGCATTACATGTTGACCAAGCCGAAGCCAACGCGAGTGTAGACAAATTGATACAAGGCGAACGCTACAGTCTACATGTTGGCCAAGTTTTAATGAGTTAACATACTAAGATGGCCAACTAACACTGGACACGAATTGACGAGTGCAGAGGAGCGCTTTTGATTTGTGCGGAAAGATCGACACTGTTCCGAATTGAGACAAGTTGTGGCGAGCTACCCCGAGTGAGTGGCAAGGCACGGCAAACGAACCGTATACACGTTGGCGCTCGTTTGCACTCGGCCAGCTAGGTGAACGACGGCCAGCAATGGCGAGGCTAGGCAAATGTTCTGTCCAAAAATTGGTACTCGTCTTCACTCGGCCAACATGTATAGCGGACTTAAGAAATGTTGCGTGTGCGGCGAGCAGGTAGTCCTAGCGGGCTGTGGCGGCGGCTGCGCGCATGGCTGGGCATGGAGGAGGAGGGCGAGGCGGCACGCTGCCCGCGCTCCGCGGAGCCCGCCTCGCCGGCACGCGCTGACGCGCCTTGCCCGCCCCCCTTGCCCTTCCTCGTGCCGTCCGACTCCGTCGTGTGAGTTTTTTTTTTATAAAACTTATTATTTATTCTGTGATACAAATGAATGAGGGCATCCACGACTTTTTCTTCCACCAGGGCGTCACCACTTAAAAATGAGGTGTAATATTTGACAGATTTCATATCGGGGAAGTTAATTTGTTCAAAAAAAATGTAAAGGTTAATGCTTATTTTAGTTATTTTAGTTTACTATACAATACCGAAAAGTCGCATTTCATGGTATTTAAGGCTGGCAGTAAATGTCCTAGTGTGGTACCACCTATAAAGCTTTATAATGAACCACTAGAAAGGGTCTATAGTTTTAAATATCTTGGACATATTGTGACTGACAGCCTTAAAGACGATGAAGACATTGAAAGATAACGTAGGGCACTGTCGGTCAGGGCGAACACGTTGGTCCATAGATTTGGTCGCTGCACTGACGCTGTCAAGATCACGCCGTTCAAAACATATTGTGCGTCATTTCATTCTTGCAGTCTATGGCCCAACTACACCAAAAAGACTTATAGTGCCCTACGTACTCAATACAACAAGGCATTCAGGGCGCTGTTGCGGCTGCCGCGCTACTGTAGCGCGTCTGCGATGTTTGCACTGGCGGGTGTGGATAGTGTTGATGCAATAATACAAAAAAAGACCACATTTTTTCTAAACAGAGTGCGCGGCAGCGGCCACAGTGTACTGAGTGAGATTGCCGACAGTGGGGACTGTCCACTGATCAAAAAAATTATCTCCAGGACCATGTCCTGCTTAATAATTAAATATTAAAATAAAAAAATATAAAAAAATGTATAAATTATATTACTAACATAGATGTAAGTTTTTTTCTACTAACAATTCCTATGGATTTCAAGTTGTCCGAAATAAACATTTTTTAATTTTTAATTTTTAATTTTTTTATTTCTGTACCACTAGTTATATTTTATATTAATCAGATTAAAAGTAAATAAACCTAACTACAGATATTCATTTAAGTAAAAAAATAAAATGTGCAATAAAACCACTGAAGCGCTGCGTTTGGCAGAAAAAAGCGCTAGCAAGCGCTTGTAAGCAAAATGGCGATCGTAAGCAGTAAGCGCTGTCAAATCGTAAGTAGCTATTTTCCTCTAGGACACGAAGTTAGTTTTAACCGGGGAACCTAACCTAATTTAAATAAATATATGTTTGTAAAGTATTCATATTAAAAACTTAACAATCATGAATTTTTAATAACATGTATAATATGTTTATTCATGTCATTATATTACTTAAAACTAATATTGCGCAAAACAACTTATAAACTCTACTTCAAAACAAACAAATTAAATAAGCAAAAGGGCGGATTGTGTCAGCGCTACTGAAGTTAGCAAACGTGTCCTGGGGGCCACGTAAGTAAGTGTGCCGAAAACTGTTTAGTTTCGCCATTTTGCTTACAAGCGCTAAATCATCAAAATACTACCCCTTTTTTTTTTTTTTTTTGTTCCAAAATAGGCGGGGTTTTTTTTTTTGCTAGCACTTTTTTCTGCCAAACGCACCCAATGTTTCATGTATTTAAATAATACTTTAGAAACTGATGAACTTTTATTTAAATCTAACTTCTCAATAAAATGTTGTGGTATAGCAAAAAACTTCACCTTAGTGTATACTAGCGAGATCTGGTGAGCGGAAGATTATTAGCCCTAATTAGGCCAGTATTCAGTTCAGAGAAAATCTTAAGTTCGAACTCTAACCTCATTATGACAAAACTTGTGAAACATGTATGCACTATACTAGACTTTTAACTTAAATTTGTTCTTGAATATAGAAATACGAAAATAAAGCAATCAATTCCATGGATGATCAATTCCATGAAAGGACCTGAAAAGCCTCATGTCCTCCATTATATGGCTGAATAACCATGTCGTATATTCCAGTCCTACAGTAACATGGCTGGCGACAAAAACAGAACCAAAGCTACGTGACCTCTGGTAGTAGATATAATTGACCAACATTTTCAGATAACACATGTGATAGCAAGTTATAAGTCTCGCCTTAAAATTTCGTATAATAAAAACCGAGTAACCAAAGGGGAATATGTTCAGACTAATATAACTATAACTAGAAGAGTCGTGGTAGTACAGAATCAAAACTTTTTTTATATAGGATAGGGTGACAAACGAGCACACAGTCCACCTGATGGTAAGTGGTTCTTGTGAACCATATACCATATACATCTATCTTCGATTAGGAATTAAAATGCAGATGTAATTGTCACCCGTGAGGACTAAGATGTAATGCCTCGCCGCCAGTAAAAAGGGTCTCCGGTTCTCTACACTCACCATACGAAACACAGCAGCATTAAGCTACTATTTTACGCTGGTGTTCTTTGAGAGCGTGGTCCTTCCCCGATCGAGCCGATCCATTCGTGCAGCAACTATACTACTAATATAACTGCAGCATGGTTCTATCACGTATATATATTTATCACAAAAAAAGCTAAAAAAATATACTTACTATGCGGAAAAAAACATAGGGAGGAAACCTGCATGTCTGAGGAAATGCCAACATGGAAGAGCAGAGCGGGAAACTACCTGCTCCATGACATAACATAGAAATGAGAGAAGGCCTATTCCATCACTGGGACTTTTAATATAAAGAATAATTAATGCAATTTTAGCTTTAAAGGCTATTTATTACTTTTTAATATAAAATTACATACAAATTGTAGTAAAAATATTATCATTGCAGAGGGATGGCATCAGTGTTGGGAGCTCCGCTTAGTCCTGAACAAACCTTCGGCTCTATCAAGTCCTTGGCGATATCAAGGGACGTCGCTAGTTTTCCATTGTCGCGCTCTCCCACTCCGCCGCCTCTGAGGTAAATATGATACATTTTGCATCCTGCTCTTTTATAAATTGGAGAATTTATAATTTTTACACGCAAGCCTCTTCTATGGTAAAATAGTCATGTGCCAAAAACGGTGGTAGAGTGAGAACGATTATACGAGTTGCTGTTCATTGACGAGTTGTGTCATAGCCGCCTAGTCTATACTCTATATATAGATAGCATTACTACGCAACAATTAACTTAATTACTTGTTGTCAAACAATTGAATAAAACTAATTGGCCGGATTTTTTCGCTTTTGTGTAAATATAAAAAATAATTTTGTCAAAAAAAAGAAACAATTGTGACTTGAGTGAGGACGACGCTGTGTCAATAGCATCGAGTACGAAACAAACTTCATATCAACCCTTAAACAATCCCCTGCCCCTGAGCCTCTACTATAGTAAAAAACTAAAATTTAACATTGCCTTTTCTATTGAAAGAAAAATCACAGTTTTTGGCACCCTTAATATTATTATAGTAAGGGTGCCAAAAACTGTGATTGAATTGAGAACGAAATTGTATCTATACCGTCTAGTCTAGTATACAGTGATACCACGCTTCAGTTGGCTTAATGCCTTTTTGTCAAACAATTAAAAATTATGAGACTGTATCGTTAGCGTCTAGTATGACGCCATTAAGTTATATGTACTAAGTACTAGAGAAGTTATTCCAAATAAAATGTGCACTACTCATTATCCGCGCATGCGCGGGCAACAGTAGAGTCGCGAATGCGCAGTTGAATTGATATAAACGCGCGAAAATTGTCATAATAAATGTTTATTTAGATTGTATTGTTAATCGAGTACATTTTTTTAATTTTCGTTTATTTTGCATATGTGCTAATTTAATATGAAATTATTATTAGTGCCGCTCAGCACTGCATGAATATCGAAGCCACAATAACAGGTGTACGGATTGCAGTACAGTTCAGTTGAACATAGTGAGTGGTCGGAATGCGAAACCTAGTGCGTCGTACATATATATTGATGTATGAAGCAATACCATGCTTCAGTTGATGCTTTGACTTTTTATTAAGCAACTAGTAAAATATGATTGAATGATAAGGAAACTGTAGACGTCGATTGTGTCTAATATATAACTGTGCAGGTGACTTATTATATTTCCAAACCCTTTCCGATAATCCTTAAACAGTAATATTAAGATATTAGCTACTCCAAAACCATAAGAAGGCAGTGTAAGAATATCCACTATATCGTCCCGTAGGTTTAGTAATTATGTGGTGACAGAAGAAAAACGAAGCAGGAAATGGGCAGTAGCATCTTTGATAACTCTAAATTATAAAAAACTGCGTCTGCCAATCCGCATCCAAGCATTGTAACTATGGCAAGTCCTTGTAAGAAACAATCTATGGCAGAGATCTATGTGCGTAATATTGTATTGATTACCCACATGCGTTTCACACTTAGAGGATATGCTTTGAATAATGAACTCTTTGACAGTCGTATCGTTTTCGTATCTATTTCGATCGACGTTGCATTTATAACGTTGCGTCACAGTTTTAAGACCGTACAATTGTGAAACCCTTTGATGTCTGGCGAAGTCGCCGCCCTCGTATAATTGTATGTATTTACGCGGCCAGCGTGTATACTAAGCATTGTCATGAAAATGGAAATAAAATCATTTTGGATATTACAATATTCATTATCATTTATTGACATTATGCACATACTTATAAGCTAAAAACGTTTATTGAACAAGATCATTTTTTATTACTACAAGAAAAAACAATAACAATATCTTCGTGACATCTTTTTATTGATGTTTTCAGTGTTTCGATTGTTAAATATAATTATGTAATGTATTCGCATTCGGATAAGCAATTTTATCAACAAAAAAAATGAGGGGAAACATAGGCATGGCCGTCATTTGAATTCAACTTTACTTAGTAACTCTTATAACTATAACAGTAATTCACCATTCTAGATATTATATTTTTCGAAAACGGCACTTAAAATTATGTAAGGTCGAAAACTAGAAAAACCACTTTTCTATTTAACAAAATTTTTTTAAGTTTTATAGATTACAAAGCAAAATTTTGGTATATGTATGATTTTTAACTATATGACCTTGGATTAGATAAAAGGAAAACATGATATCATGTAATTTTCTCGATAGAAAAAAATTGCAAAGTAGGCTCTAATAATTATTTACATTTCTCTATGACACCACAATATTCTTACGAATAAGTTCATGAAATTATTTTTAATGCATAGTAAATATTCATATCTAAGTTCCCATAAACCAGTTTTTTAATACATAACGAAGTTTTGTTAAAATAAATAAAAATGTTGTTTGGCGCTTACTTAGTTTTTTTCCGAGCGCTTGCTCGGTATGGCTATCTCATAATTTGCGTACTATGAAGTCATTGCATCACTTTCATTTTGACACTCCCTCAGTCGTTTGTTAGCTTCACCGACAAAGGAATAAGCCACGCCCCCAAAACTTCTATTCATTTTCAAGGTATCCTCTTAAATAAATACTATACAACTCGCTCGCGCCAGCCGCCTGTATTTTTTTATAGAAGAGGGGGTAAACGAGCATGCGGCTCACCCGATGTTCAGTGACTACCGCCGCCCATGATCAACCGCAACACCAGGGGAATTGCAGGTGCGTTGCCGGCCCTTTAAAAAGGAGTAAGCTCTTTTCTCGAAGGTCCCCAGATTGTATCGGTTCGGAAAAATCGCCGGTGGTTAAATATTCCACAGAGAGGTCGTACGCGGAAGAAAACTCCTTCTGAAACGTACAGTGGTGGACCGCCAAGCATGCAGATGAATGCCTGTATTGTCTATCAGACTCAGTGAAGTGCGATAACACAAGATCGAGAGTCACACTAGAGGGGTGACAACATTGAAGCTTATTGCGCTAGTTTTTTTTGTTCAATAAAATAACGACTCGTAAGTAATACAAGTTTATTTGTTAATTTGTTTTTGTTTTCCATGTTTTCAGCTGCCCTCCATTCAAAGACGAATCGAAGAATCTGAGTGACAGCATACCGAACGCGATCACACCTCAGCCCGAATTCGACCGTGGTGCTCCCACCTGCAACTACCACGTTGTCGAGTGCAAAATAACAACTACCGACGAAATACGCCGAAGTGCTCCAGCAGGCGCCAGTGTCCACATCACAGATAGGCAAAGACCTAAAACAGTGTCAGTCAATATACCCAATGAGGGCAAAGGTTAAAAAGACAATTAACCTGTAACCATAGACAATATATAAAATTTGTTCAAAATATCAATATTGTGGTGAGTGTGCTGTGTATAGCGCCGAAATGTGGTAAAATTGTTCGGGTAAACATAATTATACAATTTTTGTACAATCAAAATAATGTACTACAAGTGAATGAATAATGCGCATTTATTTGTATCTGGAAGGCAATAGTTTGAATGAACGGTTGGTATTCATCTTGGTCGCTGATCAAATCCACGTTTAAATATCTTTCTGCTCAAATTTTCACAGTCGTCTTCCGCTGCGCTCACCTGTTTGATCATTTCTCAGAAATTAAATTAAAACACATTTTTGGAAACTAGCAAAATTTTAACGTCACTAAAGAAAACAAATTTATAATAACTTGATAGTTAATAAAAATTGTGTTTAGTAACGTTTAGTAACGGAATTTCTGCCACACAACATTTTTATTAAGAGTTGTCACAAATTTCACTCTGTATTTACATCTGCAATTTGTTAATATAATTTTTATTGCTTGCAACTGAGTTTTAAAAATTTTATCTGTAAATACATTTATTGTAATACTTTGTATTAGTAATGGTGTCATATTGGTATATTACAGCAAAATGCTGCGCCAAAGTCTAAAATCAAATATTTTGAAATGTATCATTGGAGTCCTACTTATTGTTTTTCAATCAATTTTTAAAGTCACACTTCTCTTTAGTACACAAACCATTAAGCTAAGAACTCACGAAGCGATATTTACCCGCGTCCGCACCAAATAGAACCTAGAAAAACTACGATCACATTTCAAAACTCATGAGACCGCCGAGTTTTGTTTGAATTTCTGCTCACCGCGGAGGCGGTATGTCGCAATATAGCAGACGATCGCAAGTCGAGCGGGCGCAAGGAGGGTTCATTTACGTTAGATAGTTTGCCAGTAAAGACCACGCTACCATGCGCTCTTCTCGCGAGGTATGGTACCTTCTCGATATCGATTCTTTCCGAAAAACACCGACTTTTAAATCGATTCGAATCGAAATTTGATGAATCGATACACGAAAAAATCGAGGTCTATAAGATCGATTTCTCTAAAATCGATCTTTTTTCGATATGCTTTCAGATTCGTACAAAGTACAGATTACCAACTTAACTTATTCGTACTTCTTTAATCCATTAAGAAGAGGCGAAAAAACTGAGCACACAGCAGTTTTGCTAGTTTTTGAATATAAAACTGTCGTTCTTTACGAGTTTGGGTACATTAAACTAATTGTAAATAATTATATAGTTCTTGTGAAAGCAGAAAAAGATTCGATCTCGATTTTCTAGGGTGCAATATCGATTCACTAGATCGATTCAGTACTATATCGATTAAAACATCGATCTTTTGGCACAAGAAATCGATTATTCGATTAATGATGCCTACTGTCAATCGCGGTTTGCGCGATGTACTAGTTGCCCACCGCGAAAAAACATAAAACACATCGTAAAATTACTGTAGCAATTTACCTACATTTCTTATATACTCATTTTGCGAACGCTGTGGGCGCGGGTAAATATTGCTCCATGAAATCCTATCCTAAATCTGATGCTATCGTCCAACACTCCAACGATTCCTCCAACACCCGATATATAGAAGGGTATTTCATGAGCGTGGAATGGTTCGGCCGCGACAATTTATATTCAGTATCTACCATCGTTATTTTCACTCAGATTGTATTTTTAATTTGTATCGTCTTTACAGAGATACTTATGAATGAATGAGATAGACATGATTAAAACACGAGTTTGCTCGTGTAAACATTTGGAGTTGGACATATGAACGATCGTATACTGCCAGATAGTATAGTGGTTGTAATAACCACAACTAATAATGCTTAGATACGTAAAAAGTTGAATCTAATTATGTACCTACTCAACCTGGTGAACAATTTTGTTTTATTTATCCGGCTATTTGTATTTTGCTTTTTATTCATCTATATATAAACGACATTGAGCACTAGTCTTACAATCAGGTGCAGCCGATTGCAATTGTTTAAATTATGGTGTTGGGTTTTAATTAGTATTAAGAAAAAAATGTCAGGGCCAAATCGTTCTCCGTGAGTTTCACGGTTCACGTATTTCATCGTGCCTATTTTAAGTGCTGTTTTATCGCGTACTCGACGCTAAAAGAAAACATCATGTGGAAAACCTGCATGACTGAGAAATAACAAAAAAATATTTCGATGGCATGTGATTTCCGTCAACAAACATTGGAGCAGCGTGGCAAACACTTCCTTACACTAAAACTTCGCAAAAATGAGAGGAGATCTGTGCCTAGGATAAGATGCGGCTGGAGTGCAATTCATAGTTATTTTAATTATTATTCGGACTTTACTAGACCTATTTTTAGCTGCAAGCAACCGCCTACACTTAGTTTTAGTCATAAATAAATCGAAAACACATGTGTTTAACCACCCGCAATCGCCTATACCTAGTAGTAGCCTGCTAAAATATAGTTTGCCGAATAAATAAAATAAAATTATTCGTCTGGTAACCGGTTCATTCACAGAAATCTAAATTTAGATTTTTGTGGGTTCATTAGTCACTTTCTATATAAATCGACTTTCTAGTCTACAATTTGTATGTTGTCACGTAATAGCTTATTATATCGTTTGGCTTTGTTTACTGTTCCTAATTTAAATTGTATATCGTATAAAGAACGTCGTCTATTGCATTAATTTCAGTGTTGCTATTATATATAGATTAACTGTCATAATCGTATAAGTTAAGATTTGACGTAGGCTAGAATTAAATCCCAAATTGTGATAAAACTTTCTTTATATATGTTATAAATTGTATCTATGAACTTTTTACTATAATATATAATATTATAATCATTTATATTTTGCTTTATCAACACTTTTATTCACATTTATTTTATATAATTTACATTTATATAAATAGTCTTCATGAAAATTCGTGACAGAACCAACTTCACGATTTTCTTCAACGGCAAATTGTAATCATTACTGCCGCATATGAGAGGCTACCTCTTTTTATATAGTGTGTGTTATTATGATTTGGTGAAAAAGCCAAAACTGTTGCCAAAAGTACAGAACTCATCACGTCCATCATTACTTAGTGTATGCTTAGGGCCGTCGTATGTTTTAACGACTCAACACGGATTAGAAGAATGAAGAAAGGTATTAAAATGTTAGCTTTATATCGTGTTTATTAAAGGTCATTTTTCTAAATTAAAAAAGAATACATGACTCATACATAACTTTTATTTTAATTTCGGAAAATGATTTGTATTTCAAAGGGTGTAAAGGTCACATTACATTTTGTCTTTGTGTCGAATCGGTGCTGAGTTATTACTTGTTATAATGTACGGCAGGCATTAATTGCCTAATTTCTGTATTATCAAGAATTGTGCTCACAAAAGACAATTTAGTAGAAGGAAAGAATGAATGTAGGAGAAAGTTGTAGTTTGATCGTTTGTAGGAATATTGATCGGCAATATTTAACTATGTTTTTGTGATGACGGCATTTATTGGCCAAGTTATTGAAAATTATAAGGAATGTAATTTTTTTATAATCTATAGTTAAGTGCCACGCCTAAGTGAATTATACTATATTATACATAATTAAGCTTATTTAATATTGTTATAGATATAAGGGTATTGAGAAAATACAAGTTTGCATTAATTTTTTGTTTTTTTTTTTTTTCCTGATTATTTCCTTGTCTTTTGCAAGAAAATAAAATAGAAAGTAGGAAATGAGGGGAAAGTTAGAAATGAAAAGTTTAGCATAGCTTGTTACTGGTTAAAATGACGCAATGTGGCGTCGACCAGTTTTATATAATACTAGCTGTTCCCCGCAACTTCGCCCGCGTGTAATTTAGGGGGATTTAGTAATTTTGAACGGAACCCCTATTCTTTTTCTAAAATAAAAGTAGCCTAAGTTACTCCTTATTACATCAGCTACCTGCCAGTGATAGTCCCGTAAAAACTGGTCCAGGCGTTTCAGAGATTAGCCGGAACAAACAGACTGACAGATAAAAATTTAAAAAATTGTGTTTTTGTAAAATTACCGCATATGCTTTTATGTGCATTTGTTAAAAAGCTGTTATTTTTTATATAACAAACAGACACTTCAATTTTACTTATTTGTATAGATTAAAGTGATAATGTAACAATAGTTCAACTGATGGCAAATTACTGCAGCAGCTCTAACAGCCTGTAACTACACTGGCTTTCTTACTCTCCAAATCGGGCCACAACAACCACCAACAGTACTCCTGGTACTGCTGGTTTTTATGCTATTGGATGTAAAAATATTATGTATCTCACCATAAGAACATTTTTCTAATAGCTCGAAAACATTTCTAAGATTTTTTAAGTTCAGAAGGCTAGAAAAGTTGCGGACAATAATGAAAAGAATATATGAAAAATAACCCATCCATATCACTATATAAAAGAACCCAACCGAACTACTGTAGCGGACATAGGCCTCCCCAAAGGAATACAACAAAGCACGGTACTGAGCCACCTGCATCCATCGACTTCCTGCATGTCTTACCACGTCTTCACTCCACCTGGTAAGGGATGCCTTGAACTTTGTCTACAGGTACGAGCTTGTCATTCGAGAGCCTTTCTTCTCCGTCGGATGTCGGTTCTTCGAGCTATATGGCCGACCCATTGCCACTTCAGCTTACTAATCCGTTGGGCTATATTGGTTACTCTGGTTCAACTGCAGATATCCTCACTTGTAACTCTATAACGCAGAGAAACCCTGAGCATAGCCCTCTCCACAGCGACCGCCAACGATCTACGAGAAGCGAGTAGAGCTAGAAACGAGATAACAGTTGGCGAGCAGCAAGAAGCGAGTATGTAATTCCTATAGTTTTGTCGCGGTTACAAGCGAATGCACTCAGAACAGCACTGTAGAGTAAAATAATAATAAAAGAGGGTCCTCGAGCTGTACAAGATTGACTGTACAGTAAGAGACTTCCTCGGGCAGTGTATGGGGCA